CACACACACACACACACACACACACACACACACACACACACACACACACACACACACACACACACACACACACACACACACACACACACACACACACACACAGAGCCTTTTAGGCGACAAACTAACACAAAGCAGGACAGTGTTGCAAAATGGAACCGAAATGATGAATAATTGTTTTTTTATAAATAAAAATGTGAAAGGTGTGGCTTGCATTTTGATTCAGCTCCCTCAAGTCAATCCTTTGAAAACAAATCATTTGCTGCAATTGCAGCTGAAAATCTTTTCGTGCCGAAAACAAATGGATGCCACATTTTTCTGATTTTGTTTATAAAATTGTTCGAAATCATTTAAAGTGTAACCAGTGGCGCCCCCAATAGGTGAATTGGGAGGGCCATGGCACCCTACTGAGAAATGTTGGCCACCATACTGTCACCCCGGAGAATCACGATCAAATCATAGATTAGAATAAAATAGAAACATTTTAATGTCCCGCAATATTGAGGTGCAACAACAACAAATTGTTCTTAAAGTTTTAAAAACAATAAATAGAAAATAAGATTAACAATAACAACAACAGTAAATACAATAAGAAATCAGTAACTCAGACCTTGAGGAAAAACAGAATGAGAGTCAGAAATGAGAGCCACACTTACTGTAACTGTAACATCCATTTGGTGAAGTGCTGTCTGTGTTTGTTGTGCAGCTCCTGGATCTCCTTTGAGTAACAGGACGGTTTACCTTCTAAAAGACGAGCCAAAGTCTCCTGGGGAAAAATACAAACAGAAAATCAGTTTGCACGACAGCCATAAACATTTATGAGGTTTTAAAACCCTGAATGTGACCAACCTACCCTGTCTAGTTTAGGGGTGTGCAGGCGCTCGAGGGTCCGGTCTGACGTCAGAACTCTGGAGCTGCCGTGAGCCTCAAAGTACTCCTCGGTCATGGTGGGCTGGTTAACGTGTTCGGTTGCGTTCTTGCTTTTCTTGGCAGGAGTCTTATAGAGAGCTGCGGACAAACCTTTAGTAGGAGTTCTGTGGTTTTTCTGGATCTCTTTTTCCTCTTTATTTATTTTCTGTTTGTCCTTTAGCCAATCCTCTTCCTTGTCGTCGTCCCCCTCTTCCTCTCCATCCTCCTCGGAGTCAGACGGCGAGAGCTCACTGTCGCTGTCCGACTGAAGGCTCGCCGCTGAAAACATCCAAATGGTGGGACATTTACATATCATGCTTGCGAAAATGATTCACATCCTTTTACTCAAATTGCAAACTTAAATGTATTTTGTTGGGATTTGATGAGACACAACACAGAGTACAAGTGGGAAGTTGAAGAGAAATTATGAATGACCTGTGATTAACCTCATGGCGTTGAGGACAATTTACTTTTTTAAAAGACAAATTCAAGGCATTTTAAGGCCTTAATTTTATGTACATGAATTTAAGACTTTTTAAGGATGTGTGGTGGTAATTCAGAAGGGACAAATAAGCTTTTATTTCCTGTTGAGTGTCCCATTTATACATTACTTAGTGCTGGTTGGTCACAAGAAATCATCAATGAAACACATTGAAGTCTGAATTTCACCTGGCAATCATGAAAGATGTCAGTGTTTGTGAAAAAACCTTCAGAAGGCTCCATGAAATATTTCACTAAAACATGCTGTTCTTACTTGTTAGTCTCTTTCTGAGCCTGTGTGGCGTTGTGGAGACAAACTGGACCTTCTTGATCTGCTTTCAGAACCATAAACCAGGGCTGGTTAAGAGACCAGGTAAATCTCAAAGCGTATTTTAAATTACGACTTGAGTTTGGGGTCCTACCCTCTGTGGTGTCCTGATTTCGCCTTTGCGGTCTAGTCAAAGAGAGAGAGAGAAAAAAGTATCATCTTAAAATAAACACAGGATCTGGTTGATCCCATGTGAGGGGGCGATGTTCTGGACTCACGTCGGCCTGTCCGCGTCGGGGTGCTGGGTTCCGCAGGACCGAAGCTCACGCTTTTACCCGGAGTCCGAGCCAGCTCGCTTGCTGCGTTCACCAATAAGCCGTACAACACAAAGCGTCCGTTACGAAACGTGATAAATCCAGCTCAACAAAAACATTAAAATAAAAATGGAATCACTTTTAGTGGAAACCAGCAGATCTCACCAGTGTTGGCCATGCTGCTGCCACGTCTGATTTTCTGGAAGGTAAAAATGGAGGCTCCAGCCACTCCGGAGAGGCCATCCTCATCTTCAGCAGAACAAAACGAGAACATACTTCTCTTTTTAAATATTAGGGATGTAACTAATTATTATTTTAGTCATCGATTGTCAATTACAAAAAACTAGCACATTCTGCAGATTTTAACTTAAGCCTTTTTTTTTAACACAATATTAGAAAAACACAAACAAACAATTCAATTCCTTATTTAAATTAGAAAATAAACAATTTGCCTGAGACGCGGTAACATTTCTCTGGTGAATGCTTGATCATTTGCAGCAAAGAATGTCTCTACAGCTAAAAGAATACTTCCGGCATGTAAAAAGCTCAGCCGTTTCAACTCAACTCACCAATACAGTGCAGAGATGATCCGCTGATTATTTTTGGACAAACTGTTTAATAACAGATAGCAAAAGGTACTAAAAAGATGTTGCACAGTTTGACTTAATTACTGCTCTGACTGTGTTGTTCTTTCAGCAAAGATTACTTCAATAACTGATTCATCATGTTTAATGATGAAACGATTATCTGATGAATCGTTTCAGTAATTGTTCCTGAAATGATAATTATAGTAATTGTTCCTAAAAGTAATAATTCTGTGATAGTTCAGTCTGCACACAAAGCTAGTTATGCCTCTGTCGTCATCAGACGAGCCAATTAAGTCTGGGTAAAGAAGCTGTGTGCGTTACCTTCATCATTCTCTGTTCCCAGAGATCGGATGTAGCCCTGCTGATCGTAGACTCCGTTTTCCTCCTGATCCAGCTGCTCATCCTCTTGGTGTCCCCTTTGTCCAGCGAGGCTCTTAAACTTCACCATCCTCTGGATGCCGCCGGCGTCGCTCTGCACGTCTTTTTGAGGCACAGCGCACACAGACAAAAGGTCAGAGGCAGAACTGGTGCAGCCCGTTTGAATTGGTGGATTTTCAACTTGGCTTTTTGAACACAGTCCCCAAGTTCTCAATCGGAAGCTTTGTTGAGTTCAGAAGTCTGTTTTTGTTCATTTTCCTGACAGATCTACCGAAAGTAATTGAATTTTGAAAATTTTGCATTTGGAAAAATCTGGTTTATGGGTTTCCACAGTGACGTCAACCCGCCCAGGGCGGCCATCTTGTTCAACAAGCATGTTTTACAGCTTCAGTTGATTTGGACTTTGAATTCGGCTCAACTCTACAATTTTTCTCACTTTCTTTGCTAAAAAAGGAGTAACAAATGACCGAAAATATTTTCAAAAAGTAGCTTTTATTTTAATAACTTCTGTACGATGAAGTGTTACACAAAAATAAAGTCGTATTGTTAGAAGAAAACAGTAAAATTTTAGAAGTTTTACACATAGTACTTAATATTTTAAAAGGCCCATTTTGAAGAAGGAACACAAACTTAGCTGTTCACATCCAATCCTGATAAATCTATTGAAGCTTTTCTCTCATTAAAACACAGTTTAGTTTTTCTCACTTTTAATGTTTTCTGTGATAAAATGGAATTCATTTCTGATAATGTGGCTCAAACAATTATTGTAGCTTGCCCCCCATTTCCCGTCACACAACTCAAAGAAGAGATGATTGGAATAAAAGCTACTTTTTGAATAATAATTTTGTAGAGAAGAAAGGGAGAAAATAACAATAATAAAAAAGATCGAAATAAAATCCGGCATGAAAAAGAAAAATAATCTGAGATTTTAATTTGTTGATTTAATCTGTTGATTTGAGTTCAAGTCATGGAAATTCATCATGTCTTTCACCACTGGTAGCAAAACACCTCCACAGTATAATGCTGCCACCACTAATAGTTTGATACTTCCTGTCACATCATCTTTTATAACTGTTTCCATGAGGATGATGATGTCAAACACAAATGCCAACTGATCTTGGACTGAATGCACAAAATTTTGCACAAAGTGCACCAGTTGTGCCAAGAAGAGTGGTTTAAATATTGGGTCAGATAATCCAACATGTCTTGTCATATGTGTGCATTATGTAGCCTTTTTGGATTAGGTGAACACCGCCACATATTCAAAAAGTTTGCCAAGCCGTTCAAGAGTTTGATTAAATATTCCTTATATTGCCAGAAAGCATAGAGAGCTCCTCACCCTCCTGTTTGTCCACGATGTGCTCCAGAACATCTCCATCCCCGATGAACTTCACTTCCAACACGCTCATTCTTTAGGATAAAACCAAACAAAAACACTCCAACACGGTGGCGGCGGCTCGCTGTTTAAAACTCCTATAAACAGCTGTCCGTTAGCGGCTACGTTTAGCCGCTAACGAGGGGTTTCTACTATGTTTCAGTGAAAAGTCATATTTACTCTGCTGTGTCATAAATGTAACTCCTTAAGAGAAAACGGACAACTAAACGCGACTTACTTGAGTTTGCTAAACAGACGCGAACTGGTTAAACTTAAGACGAAAAACTAAACTATACTGCAAATAAACATTTTAGCTGTGCTGCGGTGTGACAAGGTCTCGCGCCATTCTACTGAAGATTTTAAACCACGTGACAAGTGAAAGGTCGGGCGGTGACCAATGAGAACGCTGGTTTCACTGAAAACTACATTTCCCAAGTTGCACTTCAAAGTGCAGCTTGTATATCTATATTAACCACCCAAATGTGGATTCGGTTAGTCTATTGAGTCTTTAAATCTCACAGAAGGATGCTTACTTATTACCAAATTAAAATAATTCTCATCCATTTTTTTGTCTGACAAATTCACCAAGTCATGCTGCTTTTAAGTGAAATGCAACAAATAAATGTGTTCCTCCAAATAGAAGACCAAATGTTGCTGGTTATAACACACACACAAAGAAATCACAGAACAACTTACTTTTATAAATCGTTCTGATTTTGATTTATTGGAAATAAACATTTCCACTGCTCTTTTAGAGGCAGCACGTCGTGAACAGGGCTTCCACTGCTGCTCGCCATGTTAACTCACTACTAGTTTTATTATTGCAATCTATCTACGTAATAAGGAATGAGGCAACGTTCCCTCTCTCATAATCGTAGTTTTCTTTACGTTGACTCATCTCCAGCTTCTTCAAATGCAAGTCTGGACAGAGGTTCACCACCCTCGGGTGGGGGTCCACTTTCCCAGCAGGCGACTCTCGGAGTGCACATGGTACACAGGGTGCATTGCGGCTGCTGCACACGACTGCAAAGAGAGAAGTGCACAATTAAACAGGAAGACAGTGCAAGGCGAAGATAAATTTGTTGTTTAAATTTATCTTCAAAAGTGTATTTATTAAAAGGAGAAACCCATCCTGATTAACACAATAATGGAAGTAGGCTTGAATAAGTCTCTAGCAAAACAACGAGCAAGAAAAACAATGCATCATCAGGCATGCAAGAGCAAAAACAACCAATTGACAATACAAATCAAAGTGAAAAAGTAATAAGAAATTAAATAACCAAAATAAACAAAAATGAATAAAAATAATTACTCTTGATTATCAGTCACAACAGAGTCACAACACTGACATGATAGGGGATCAATGTGAGCAGAGATCCTATGGGGTATTTGCTGTAGTCCATTGGACCTGAGATGGGCTCCACTCTCCCATGCTCTTGAGTCATCGACAACAACCTAGAAGAAAACATATTTAATTAGTGAACCTGTCACTTTGGTTTAGGCCAGAAAGAAAGCGGAAACAGGTTTTACTTGAGGTCTGGATGGCCTTCGATCATGGCGTATCCAGAGGGTAGCTTTCCAGCTCCGTCCAAACTGAGAGGAACAATGTCAGAAAGTCTCAGGACATGTTTCCACCAGAAAAGGGATCTAGTTTGCAGCGTCAAATGAAAGTGGCTCAGAAGAGGATCTCGTAAAGCCACCTGATTCCCGTCCATCCGCAGTCGATCAGGAGCTGGTTTCTATGGGGACAGTGTCCTACGACCCTCGTCAAAACCCTCACAGCCACGTCTTCCAGACGGCACGAGCCAATCATAGACTGCTGGGCGTCTAAAACCCAACAAAAACAGCTTATCCTCCATGTTTTTTGTTTGTTTGCTTTCACAGCCACCATGCACCGACATGAAGCTAACCCACCGTAGAAGACGTAGTTTCCGGGATGCACCTCGCTCAGTTTTTCCATGTCCGGGACGGGATGACTGCAGGACGGGGTGGAGCCGATGCTGGACTTGCAGCTGATGCCAACAGCCTTCAGTCTGACAGGTGAAGAGAAGAAGAAAAACAATATTTTGTCAAAGTAGCTTTTATTATAGCTACATTAAATAACAATATTCTGCCAATCTTTTATCAATATTCAATATTTTTCTTTTTTCTGACATTCAGCCTCACACAAACACAATCACACACACACCGCTGTCACTCTGCGGATTCAAGTCTTCCTAAATTCAAACGAGTCTCAACCTTGTTTTGAAACTCCTGCCTTACTTTTCCATGAACTGCAGCGTCAAGCTGGTGGTTTCCTGGGCAACAGCCTGTATCTGCTCCACCCCTTTGCAGCTGTACGTGTTCCCACAGTGGGCGTACACCCCAGTCAGCTCCACGCCGTCCGCCTCCGCGATGGCCCGGGCCAGTCGGAGCGCCTGGGGCTCCGAGTGCAGGACGCCAGCTGCAGCAGAGAGCAAACTCAGCCGCCGAACGATCGGGAGCACTGGGGCTGTTGTCTCACTGCATTTTTGGTCTAATTTATAGTGCAAATATCTTAAATAAAACAAAAGTCACTCTTTAGCCAGATATAGGAGATTGTTTTAAGTAAATAACTCCTTAATATTGCTTAAATATTAAGGATTTGTTTTTTGCGTCCCGGCATGCCGACCTCTCCCGTTGCCACAGTCGAGCTTTAGCCACACGTGCCACCGCCGGCCGCCTTTCAGTGGCCTCTTCCTGAGCCGCTCCAGAGCGTCGGGATGGTCGAGCAGAACTTGGAAAAGGTCCAATCTCTCTGACAGAGCGGCACAGCGCTCTACCTATAAACACAGATGTTTAGCCAGGTGTTTCTTGGAGAGGCTCTGTATGGCATTTGGGAGCAAAGGGTGTCAGCAACATAGGAACTTGCAAAAGTGTTTACACCCAAACCTGTCGCAATAAGCAATAAATCAGTTAATCGCATAATAAACTGAAACGACTTGATCATTTCCATTTGCATGATTGTTTGTTTTTTCTTGTGTCTCTGTCTTTCTTTATTTTGGACATTTAAGGTGTTTTTCCATTTCCAGAGTTAATTATGTGTTAGAAACTGAAGTTTACTGAGCCTTTGACAGCACGTACTTGGCACTATTAACCTTTATGTTACTTGGAAATGGTCTCAAAATAACAATATTATTTGCTTTTTATCGCAATAACTTGCCGGACACTAAATTGTCCGGCAAAATTTGTTATTGTGACAAAGCAGCGTTTCACATTTTGTCATTTTACAAGCACAAAATTTAACATGTTTCATTGAAATGATATGTGACAGATCAACAGTCAATAGTGCATAACTGGGAAGAACTATGATTTTTTTCAACTCTATCAAACAACACAAATGTTCTTTGACATAAACCAGAGTTATTTGGCCCTCTCTACTGAACAAGAATTTGAAAGATTTTTTTTTTTTGCCAAAAATTCTGACTTTTTAGCAGGGATCTGATTAGCATTTTTTTTTTTTTTTTACACCAAGCATAAAGTTACAATTCGGGCATATTTTGGTAATTATGGCTGTAAAATTTGGGTCCCTTTTTGGAAGTAGATCGACTTGACTTTTTGACATTTGGTTCATGATTTTTTTTTTTGCCCAAAATAAATAAATAATTTTAAAAGAAGAAAAATCCCCAAACTAATATATTTTTTTTCAAGGCATAAATATTCAGATTATTCATGAATATTTATAAATGTTCACAATACCCACAAATCATTTTTCATAAAGTGACGCTGTGGGCTTAAAACCCATGGAGGGAACAAAATGACAGACTGCGATTAAGGGGAGTGAAAATATCGCATTGCCGATAATAATAACTATCGGCGACGCGATAGTTATTTTGCCGATGCCAGGTGTTGGACGCCATTGGAATGACGCGTCCAGCGGCGCGCGGACTGTTGAGTACCTTGTCAAAGGGAAGAGAGTAGGCATAGAGGATGTCATCAAAGCCATGGTCAGCATAGAAAGTGGCCTCTGCCAGGGTGGAAACCACAATGCACCTCCGGGATCCACCTGTCATGATGTCAGCACACTCACTGCCCCACACACACACACACACACACACACACACACACACACACACACACACACACACACACACACACACACACACACACACATTATAGCGTCCCTGATGGAAACGTCGGCTTCATCAGTGTCAGTCAGCGCGCTTCCATACAGGGTTTTGTGGGTCTTCATGTGGGGCCGAAGTTGGACTCCCAGCCGATGGCAGCGCTCCATCATCCTCTGCGCGTTCCTCTTCACTTTGTCCACGTCCACCACCAAAGCGGGGCTGCACAGGTCCGAAAGGGTCCCCCCTTCCATACTGGTAGAACTGGAGACCTTGCGCGCAATTTAATTATTACGCACGGCTGCTTCGAGTACAATCGAGGAGGAGTCTTTGTTTAGACACACACAAATATGTGTTTGATAAAGAAATATGCTCACATGCGACTTTTTAACATTTTCCCATGTTCTCATTTTCCTGCCTTTGATTGTGTAATGTAGAACTTTGCTCCCTGGAAACTAACTTGTTTTTTTAAATGATTTTCAGAGGTTTTTATTAGTCTGCCAGGGGCCGTTCGGTAACTCTACACTTGAACTAAATGCATCTGACCACATAAACATAGGCGGACCGATAACTGTGCAGAAAACAAAGGATTTACCTCTCAGAAGCAGAGATCTCACACCGCTATGTCACGAGCGTGTCCTCAGCTACGGCGTCCTTTAGGGGCCAAAACGCGCTAGCTTGACTCTTGAACGTTTTGTAGTTCATTTATTTCGGGGTTCATGTGTCCACACACCGACAGGTCACTTAAGTTATTGAATAAAATAAAATAAAAATAATTGCGACCGCCTGTTTTGAATGGTTACATTTTTTTTTCATTCCGCTCTTCTATTTTAAATAAGTTTCTGTCTGAATAATTGTATATAATAAAAGTAATTGACATATAGTTTTAAAACTAATTTTTTAAAAACATTATACTTTTCTTACTTTCTTTTATTATTATTTGCATAACTCTTTCTTAGGCTCAGCTCTGCTTTCACAGTCTGGTTCTTTGCTGCCCCCGTGTGGACAACCATTAACCATGTCTGAGGTGGGTTCATTTCGGCTGCGGATAAAATCCAGCAGATAAAACGACTTTTGAGTCAAATCCAAATATATTTAAAACAACACAATGGTGCCCGCTATATTTCAGTTTTATGAAATAATTCAGCTGTTGAGATGGAGGTCTGTGATTCGACTACCTGATTACTGCAGCACTTTAAAGCTGTTAAGTTTCACAAGCAGGCGTCTTGACTTTTCCATTGCATGTTCTCCTGTCTCTCCCATAACAAGGCCTCTTTATCAGAGCCTAATTGTGTTCATTTTATCTTCTGAACCACTTCGCCAGGATGAAATACGAAATGGTAAAACGATAGGTTATAACGATGTTACAAATACAAAACACAGTGTTGGGGGTGGAGGGGTCACACTTTGGTCTTTATTTGAACTTTCCGCAGACAGACGTTATTTTGTTTCTCGGTCTGTACCTGCTTGGCATTCATCTGGAACATTTCTCAGTCAGAGCAACATTTAGTTGTTTTTTTTTGTTGCTGTTGTTGTTGTCGTTTATCTCCAGAATAAATGATGCAAATAACAGTACAATGTGAATTAAAAACAATATTTTCAGAACATCCCAGATACCAGTTAGCACCATTAATGTAAATAGTAACCTTTTAAAGAAATAGTGTGTGTACGTTGGGGTCAAAGAGGAAATGACAGATAAGAGTTTGTTCTTGTAAGCTGAACATTATATTAAAAAAAACAAAAAACAAAACAAACTATGTAAAACCTTTAGTGTGCTTGGTTACTACTCAATAATCACAAGTTTTCTCCTGTGGCATACCTACTGTAGCAGTGCTGACAAGACATGTAAATGGACACATTGGTTCTGGAAGTGTGTAAAGAGTCGGACTTGAAGAGGCTCCTTTCAATTTTGCAAGCAAATTTTCTTCCCGAACACAACACAATATAGAGCCACCTCAGTGCTTCTTATCCAGGAATGATAAAGGCCACAGCGTTACATCTGGTGCCTCTGCGTGGGTTTTACATGTACACTGAAGGAGCTGGTCCCTCTGTCGTTCAATGGCTTCTAACTCTATTGTGCAGAGCACTGCAGTTCCTCACTAGCAAATCCAGCGGATGAAGCGCTCAAAGAAGGAAGATTTGCCCAGCACGGAGAAGTCGTCGCCCCTAAAGATGGCAGATGAGTCTCCCAGTGACACCTTGCGCAGCACCTCTTCGTCGGTGTCGCTTCCCAAAGCGATCACCGTGGGAACGCCTTCCGCCCTCTTCATGGCGTCCACGCCCTCGTCCAGCTGGTCGGTGGAGGTTATTCCGTCCGTGATGAAGACGAAGGCCACCTCGGCGTTGCGCCGGGAGAGCCGCTGACTCTGCGAATGCAAAGGCGGAAGAGGGGGTTGGTGTTTGAGGAAAAAGTGATGCCGCAAGGGAGATAACACAGGTGAAAGTAAATTTAGCTTCTTTTCTTGGATCACACAATTTGCAAAAATGTTGGGTCCAAACAGAAGACAATTTACTGCAGCAATGACAAGATTTGCAAACATGTAGCCTTTAGCTGGAAGGAGAGACAAGTCCAAGTCAAGTTTCTAGGCCTGTTGGTGCCATTGTAGACAAAATAGTTTTTGTTTTGTCTACCAAAAAACTTGAGATTAATCTTAGAAATTTACTAGACAAAACAAGGACATTTCTGAGGTCTGAAAGTCAAGAATTTGCTAAAACATACTAATTTAGCGATTAATCTAAAAAAACGTGGACATTGAAAGCAGACTAAACGGGGATGTTGTGAATTCCCTATTCTCAGACGACATCCGGGACTTGTTTGAAAGCAACATGTAAGTGAATCACAAAGGACAATAAATTTGGACATTAGTAGGCAGAAATGCCTACTGAAAATGATTGATTGTTAAACCACATTCACTGTTAGACCGTACAGTACCTGTCTGATCACCAGATTGTTTACAGCATAGATGATGCCGTTGCCCAAAGAGGATGAGGAATCCAAGTAGTTCACAGCCGCCAGCGAATCCACGATGACCGTGAGATTATGCGTGAGCGGGAACTCTTCTTTGTGGTCTCCTGTGCTGCCGAACTGCAGCAAAGCCAGACGGGCCTTGGTGTCGTCGGTCGGGCCGTCCGCCAGGGTCAGGCGGCGGGCCACGTTCTCGATGAACTCCTTGGCCCGGCGGTGGTTCTCCAGGCCCATCCTCTCCGAACCGTCCAACATGAAGATCACATCCACCGGTCTCTGCACACAACTAGCCACAGCTGGCTCTGAAACAGACCCACACACACACACACACACACACAAAGCGTAGTGTACAGTCAGCAACAGCTGGAGCGCAGATGTTCAAAAAGTTGAGGCTGAGAAAATACAATAACATGCAACAACTCTTTACATGCCAGCGTTGATCAATGCTATTAATGTTCAACAAAAACAGTGCTGTTTGAGTTTGCTCTGCCATTTTGTTTTATTTCTTGCCAACACATAAAGATTGATTACATTCCATTTTATTCAAAACAACATTGTTCACATCTGATAGGTGCAGTCACAGAGCTATAGGTAAAGTAACACCTGGTTAAAGCTACAAGGTGGTCAATTCTTTCTAGTCATCAAACTTCATAGACCAAGCCACATGCTGTAAGAGTCATGCACCAGCCAGGAGTATAATGTACAATATTTCCTTGTCTGACCGAGCCAAGCAAATCAACCAAACATACACATACAAAGGCCTCTGACTCATATACAAAATAATGTGAAATGTATTTATAGACCACATTATTTCCATGTAATTACTTGAAGCCACCATAAAACACTCACATGGGATAAAAGTAAAGGCTGTAACCATGGATATGTGCAAAACAGCAAAAAAAAAAAAAAAAAAGAAAAGAAAAAGAAGGAAAAAAAAGTTGGGAAACATTTCGAGTGACTCATAAAGCTCATGATTCACAGTGGAAACGAGGCTTCATCACAGGGCCACTGTGCAAAAGCAACATGAACGGGTCTACAGTCGACACCATCAAATGGACGACATCTGTTTTCCATTTTAACTCAAAATCGACTAATATGCAAAAAACCCAAAAATATTATGTGTACGAAACAAACATGTTTCTCTGGGAGACAAAAAACGCGTTACGACTGCATGTTAGATAGAAAAAAAAGGAGGAGGAGGAAATTTTCACTGAAAAGTTTGAAATTTTGAGATTGATCTGAAATTTGCAAATTTCTGAGATTGAAGTCAAAAAGTTGCTATAAAAAACAGACAATTTCTAGAAAAAAGACAGGACATTTCTGATGTCGATGTGGAAAATTCCTCTCACGCCCTGAAAAAATCTGAAATTTTGAGATTAATCTCAGAATTTTGCTACAAACAACTTGGAAATTTATAGTATCAAAAGGGGGAAAAATTACTTTAGGAAATATTTCAATTTTTTTTTTTTTCATTTTTGTGCCGGAAATTGACATATTTTTTTTTCTTTTTTTTTTTTATCAACAACAGCCCTAAAACGCTGTCGCAGGAGAGCGAGCCTGAGCTACATTTTGAATTATTTGTCTTCGTCACATTTGCACAAAAACACACAAGTTTGCTCTCAAAGCTTCATGCAGTTCATTTCACTGGCCTGTACATGTATTGCACCTGCAGAAAAAAAAAAAAAAAACGATTTCAACACAAATCAAGTCATTTTAGCAAGCTTATTATTAGTCAAGGTCATTGAGGCGAGGTAGCATGGTTAGGACTGTAGCACTAACAAAGCCCAAGGGCTTTCTCGGGGTCTCCCATAAGGTCGCCATAGACATATTTAAATGAGTCGATGAACAGCTTGGTCCACTGCTCCCTGTCCACTCCCTGGGAGAGTTTGGCTCTCTGGGCTGTGTACGCCATGGCTGCTATGCCAACCCCATACTGCTGCTTGTTCAGGTTGCTCAGCAGGCCGGCCACACTCTCCAGTGAGGTGGGGACTAGAGAGGGGCTGCCTTCTTCGGCCAGTGGCTTCCAGGGGGGCGGGGCTTCCCCTAGAGTGACGCCCCCTCCTGCAACAAGTGGGCGGAACAACATTGTGGGCGGGGGTCCCACGAAAGCATCAACAGAGCCAGTCATGACGCTGGAGGTACACCGAGTTGGTCTAAAATGGCTCACAGCTCAACGAGTTAATCACATCTGAACAATGCAACCGTCACCGGCATGAATGTGAGCAGTGAAAGCAGACATGAGCATCGTTCCAAATGCTACGCTGAGAAAACACAAGTTAACAGTTTGCAGCTGTTCAATTTTCTCTTTGAACGTTGAGAAACATAAAATGCCTTCAAATTCTGACAATAGTCCTGTGAACCCATTTGATTTCAGCTCATGCCTTTTGAGGCCTAAGAAGGCTGGCCAGAGGTATAAACAAACTTTGAGGCGGTTTAGTGCCCTCTGCTGGCCTGAGTGACCCTAAAGAGATTAAAATTCTTAAAGCTGCAGCATTTAACGTCTACAAAAAGTTCATTTTTTTACATATTTGTTGAAACTGTTGCTATGTCGTGACATTACGGTATGAAACAGATAATCTATAAAAAAAATCTAGCTCCTCTGCCTTTTCCTGGTGCGAGTTAGAAACAATAAACCAGAGCCAGAAGTAAGGTCTTATCGCTGTCAGTCATTCCCATTTGCTTGCTTCTCACTTCTCCATATTTTTCCATGCTCTCTACTACCACTACAGCTTCTCCTCATCAACATAGCATGTCACAAATGCTATGTTTTTTTGTAGCAATAAGTCATTTTTCTCCCGTTCTCACATTCAACAGCCCGTTCACGTGCATGATTGACTGCGATAAGCCCTTCCTCCTGGGTCTGATTGGTTCTTTTCATTCGGGAACTGTGTATTTTTTTCAGACAGAGACAACAGCACTGGGAGGAGGTGGAGAAGATTGATCCTTTAACTGATTATCTGTCTCATATTATGCTGTCATGACATGGTGACAGTTTAAACAAAAAAAGTCAAAAACATATTTTTATTAAAGTCAAAAGCCGCAGCTTTAACGACATATTGGCAAACTACAGTTATACACATGCACAGGTACAAATTATAATCTTGTAAATTAATTCAAAACGTAGAATTCACAAATATTAACTCATTAAACACAAGAGTGATATTTTTTGTTTTAATGTTGATGATAATGGCTTAGATTAAATTAAAGCAAAACGTTTTTCTTAGACGACATGGATATTACACAAAAAGGCTGTGATTGTGCCTATTGGCTTAATATTTTTTTCTACCAGGCCTTTTTCCTCCACTCAACTTTCCATTAACCTACTTGGACACAATACTCTGTAGACTCTTCAGCAATGGCCTTTTCCAGTTTACCTTCCTTGAAGAGAGAGGAAATCAAGCAGTCTTCCCTATGATTATGAAGGCCCAGAGTTCTATGCTATGTGCAATGTTCAACATTTCTGATTTCAGTTTTCCATCATTCTAAGTGTTAAAAGACATTAAACACTTACAATATATCACTCTGCATAATCAACCTTTAAAATACTAGCATTCCACATAACAAACGAGAATCAGACCTTGAAATGAAATGCTGGTCCAACCCTGCAAAAAAAAAGCTCTCAAGGTTCCCCTTGAATAAAACTGGTCTTACCTGACTTACATGGAAGATCAGGGCATATGATGGCAGGATCTGAGAAACAAATTAAACAACAACAGTTTATAGATTATCATTGCCAATCTAATCTTTAAACTCTCCACTAAGTAGATATGCAGTGTTGATCTGCTGTGTGACTGACCAGGGCAGAGCACAGTCTCAATCTTGTCGATGAATTCCTCTGCCACCAGGTCTGCGAATCGCCTCATTCCCATCACTCTGCCCTGCTTCTGGCAGGCAATGCTCTGCAGACTCTCGTTCTCCTCGACCTGCTCAAACATGTCTCCGATACCGATGGCGCTCACATCGACGCCCGGGTGACTGTTCACACGGATCGATACAAACAGAAACGAAAGCAAGCTCTGAGATAAGACTCCTTTCATGCAAAGTCACAGTCCCACGATTCGAAACACAGGACGGCAGTCGCACTTGCACAGATATGGCAGCAGCCTGTCGTCGTCTCTTGGGTCAAAGCGTCCGTCCGTAATCACGACAACCGTGACGTTGGCTTTGGCTCGCCGGCTGTGCCTGATCAGGTTGTCGTAGGCGAACTTAAGAGCAGATGGAGTCCAGGTTCCTCCTGCGATCCACTCTAATCGCTTCACAGCTTCCTGGACAGGAAGGGGGAAGAGGAAATGGATTAGTTAAAAACGGACACAAAAAGCTATGCGCTGTATAGCTACGGCAATATTTCTGAATTGCAGTTTTTAGCTTTAGTACTTGTTTAGTAAAGTAACGTGCTTATATCCCGATCTGCCTCATAACGGGCCTCAGAGGTTTTGATGCGTAGAATCCAGCTCCAGATGTTTGGAAATACTGGATGATACTGGGTGACACTTAAGACAACATCTCCAAATGATACATAATTTTTTAGATGGTTTGTGAAGCAGCTTAAAATCTTTTAGGCAGTTTTAATGCAGAGGAGTCCAATAAAAAGCCCAAATTCAGTAGCATCCATAGCCTACCCTCAGTTTGTTCCTTCTTAAGGTGTAGAGCCTTAAAAACAGACTTCAAATTCTATTGTCTAAGTTGGTGGAGAATTGTAGTTGATGTCTTTTCCCCAAGTGTTGTTGGAGCTTTCGGGAATACATCAAGAATAAGTAACACAAACGCAGGGCGTCCTTGAAGACAAAGTAGAGAGATCCATGAATCTGGTGTCAGATCTGATCTCTGCTTAACTTCCTTCAGCTATATGTGACAATAGACTTGATCAGCTATAAATAATCAAACATATGGCCATCCGAATGGAAGAGCCATTAAAATAAACTTCTCCGTAATGTACATCAGTGTTTATTTCTGTTCCAGTGTTGGTGAGACCTTAAACGCCGTCAATGAGTTGATGTTGCTGTCATTGAGATTGATTGCTTGGAAGGTCCCATTATGGCTGTACTGTACCACACCAACCCTTGTGCCTGTGAAAATAGGGGACATTCTTGTTAGAGTGCTTCAATTCACTTTTGGACGTCTTGGCATTGTACTTTGACATTTGAACCTGTTTCGGACTGCGGGTCTTTGGCAAAAGATCCCAGTCTGTTGATGGTGTTGATGACGAAGTTCTTCTCCAAGGTGAAGTTGGTGAGTCCCACAGACTCTGAGCTGTCAATAACAAAGACAATGTCCAAGGCTCCACAGCGTTTCTCGCAGTCTGGAGTAAAAACAATGCAACCGATAAGTAATATAAGCAAAACAGAAGTTTCAGATGCTTCTACACTTGTCACTAAACTCACCACAACAGCCACACGTCTCTCTGATGTAGTTCATGACATCACATTCCTGCAGGCGAAAACGCAATCATGACCTTTAAAAGCGCTCAGTTTGTGTTTCATTCATTGATAAAACTGATTAGATGTGTTCTCACAGTAAGTCCGGGATCTCCCTCTGGACCTGGATCTCCCTGTCAAGGAATAGGACTTAAGTTTACCTTTGGAATCGGTTTTGTTAAGAATACCACTCACTGTGAGTCATTTGTTGACTTACATCACGACCAGGACCTCCTCTTGGTCCTCTTTGCCCTGGTTCCCCAGTGGGCCCTGGTTCACCCTGATGAAGGCAAGGACTCACTTAGCTGAGATGTTAAGTGCAACATAATCTATGATTGCATCTTTAAGCTACTTACCGGATCTCCTGGAGTTCCTTTATTTCCGGGTTCTCCCTTCTGACCACAGTCTCCTCTGCTGCCAGGGGGTCCACGCTTGCCCGGGTCCCCTCTGTCACCCTACAAGTGAACAGAGACAATCCATGTCAACTGAACCAACTTGACAACAAAGGGAAGGCTGAAGATCTCTGAGTGCCTATGTCTCGTACTGGATCTCCTCTCGGTCCAGGATAGCTAAAACCAGGTCTTCCAGCATCTCCCTGCCAAGAAAGTAAAAACACGCATGAACTGAGAATGACATCACTGTGGACGAAGACAAAAATGTGCAGCTGGTAACCTTTGGTCCAGGCTGCCCAGGCTCTCCTCTCGGTCCAATATCACCAGGGTCTCCTCTGGTGCCCTAAAGTTCAAACAGCGTCAAACGGCATTTGGGGATTTCTTGAGATGATTGCTCAATGAGACTTTTCAACATACGTTTTTTCCAGGCTCCCCTGAAGCTCCTGCTGGTCCTCTAGGTCCTGGCAAGCCAGTGTCTCCCTGTTTAGATAAAACACAATGGAGGTTACATTGAAAGTTAAAGTATATTAATGAGGATACACTGTTGATCAGGTATTCCTTCATCTGATAAAATGGGTCTTTCTACCTTTGCACCTTTGCCTCCTGGTCCTCCAGGGACTCCTCTCAAGCCCTCTGGTCCCATTTCACCCTGAAATGACATCACATCGGTCTTCATCTGGATGCTGCAATATGGGAGGAAAGTTCTACAAAAATCTTTAGAAACGCTGTAGAAAGTTCTTACGAATGGGCGTGTGAACACCTACCTTCTCTCCCTTGGTACCATCTAGTCCAGGTTCACCTTTAGGCCCGTAGTCTCCTCTTCTTCCCTAAAAAAAAAAAAAAAAAAACAAAAGCCAAGAAAGACCATCAGGCTTTGCAAAAACAGAACATATGCAAAAATATCTGAGAATTTTGGATACTCTTACTTCCTCGCCTCGTTTTCCCGCAGTTCCAGGGAGACCCTAGAAAACAAAACATGTTCAGATCAACCAGTCATTGCGTTGGACAAATTGGGTTTGAATGGACTCATCTGTCCTGATCATCTTACAGGGGTTCCTTTATTGCCAGGAAGGCCAGGTGATCCATTACTTCCTCTTTCTCCCTGTAAATGAAACATCAGAGTTTAACCTATTAGTTGCAACAGAAAACATCTGCTTTCTCTGTCCATTTCTGGTTTACCTGTGGTCCACCTTCTCCAGGCGGGCCAGGGGGACCAGCTCTTCCAGGACGCCCAGGGTCACCCTGGAAACAATGAGGTAGTTTTTAGCAGTGCAAGGGTGAGAAGTAAGTTTTTCGTTTTTTTTAACAACCAAATGTGTTACCTTCTCCCCATCAGTTCCTGGAGGGCCACGTTCGCCGACATCTCCTGGATGACCATCGGGACCCTGGAAACCATTTGATTCTGATCATAAATTGACTATAAAGATGCTCAAATTGAACTTAGATGATGATAAATGTCATACTCTGTCGCCTGGATCTCCTTTACAACCCGGGGCACCAATCCGTCCAATTTTGCCCTGAAAGTAGGAAAAGGTTGTGAAATATGTGCGTCACCAAAGAACTCTAGAGGTAGTTTGAAAAGATGACAAGCTCAATGATGAAAACTTTACCTTTTGTCCATCGGTTCCGTTACGTCCTGGAATACCAGCCACACCCTATCGGCAATAAACAGTCCCAGTTAGAGAAATTGAGACTGGTTGGAAACCAGTACTAATAGGTAACGAGTTTAAAATCATCAACAAAACCTACCTTTTTGCCTTGAGTTCCAATCTCTCCCTGTATTCAGACATATTTAAAAAAAAATGGTTACCAATAATTATTATTGCCAAACCTTAAATGTCATCAGCATCAACAGACTGAATCCTGAACATCTTCATCAGAGCAAGAGGATCTTTTGAATCCCCATAAAACCCAGTTGAAGTCTCACCTTCTCGCCTTTGGGACCAGGTTCACCCTATGAAGAGAGGAAAAAGGAAAACCACTTCATAAAAGTTTAGTACTAGTCAAAGCTCAGTTAAAATCCAGTTGGTCAGACCCTCCCACCTTAGTACCCGGTTGACCGATGGGACCTTCAATGCCGGGGTCTCCTGGGCGACCTCTTTCACCTTTTTGTCCTGCTTCTCCATTGTCTCCTTTTGCTCCCTGGTCAACAAGGTCCAACATGATTACCGAAGCAAAGCGCCTGAAATATACTGAGATCATATAAGTGTGCATGTGGACAACTCACTTTCTGTCCTCTGTGGCCTTTTGGACCAGGCTGCCCTTCTGTCTCCAGGCAGGACACGTTATAACACTAGTGACGCAAAAATACAGTGGTGAGTGAGGACATAACCGCCTATTTTAGATATTTCAAAGATAGTATTAGTAACAGTCCAGTCTTACGTCTACAAACGCCATATGTCTCTGTAAAGAAAAAGACAAAAATGTAAGCCCAAGAGTTAAAAACGATCACGTTTATGTGCGAACGCTTGTTTGAGCATTACCATTGTCTGGATGATGCGGTCTATCGTTGCGGTATGTATGGCAGGTCTGCCCCTGCTCAGGTCCACAGCCATGAAGTTATCTCTGAAGACCGACGCCGGGGAGTTGGCAATCTCTTTCAGTCCCGTCTCCTCGATGTTCGTCGATGCCGCCACGGCAAACACCCTGATGCCCTTATCACGCGCGTCTTCCGCCGACACCTTGATGCCTCCACAGGGGTTTCCGGTCACGTGGCCGTCGGTGATGACCACGGCGAACCGGAGGGGTGTGCCGCTCGAAGAGGGTCCAAGCAGCATCTCCTCGGACATTCTTCGGAGAGCGCAGTCGATGTAGGTGCCTTTTCCAAGGTATTTCTCAATTCTCACGAGATCCTGGAAAGATAAACAAGCGGATCCTCACAAAGCGGAAACCCAGGAGTAAAAACTACTTTCGGTGCTATATTTGGTGCGAGACAGGTGGTGCCATGAGTATTTCAGAAAGTACTAATCTGCTGGGATTTTCATGTTGACAAAGAATGGAGCAAGCAAAGGAAAGCATCTGAAGTGCAGGAGGATGGGCAGACTGATTTCACGTGACTGGAGCTCAAAATGAGCTTAAATATCCAATCATTATAACTAAGAGGTTTTCACTACCAATTCAGAATGAAAAACACATTGAACATTGAGACAGAAAGGCGTGGCAACAGAAAGCCTTGAACGGAAACCTTTCTGTTAGCTAAGAACAGAAAACTGGGGTTAAAATGTTCACTAAAATTGGCTAATAATTATAAATCTTAGCTTTAAATGCAACATTTCTATAGGTAGGGTCAGACTATGGAGAAAGCAGGATGACAGCAAGGGTTTATCCTGGATTATATGAGCTGAAGTGATGTGAAGGATTATGCCTCGAGACACTTTGGGTCGGTCAGCATAAACTATTCAGTTGCTGCCGCTGAGCATGTCCATCTGAAATCATTAAATCATCTCATTTAACATAACAAGTTCAATGTACTCCAACAGCCTCCATTCCTGCTAATGCTACTCATCTCAAATGTCTTTTTTAAACACAATCAAGGAAGCCTCAACAATAAAACCGTCTTTCAAACATGCAATCTCTAAGGCTGCACAATATGTCGAAAATATAACGGCATCACAATACCAGTGCATGCAAAGTTCATAAAGCACAGGACTGCACTAATTGCTGGCGACTATATCCCAGACTCGAGTTTTACATGCTAATGTAGTATTTAGCTAGTTGAACACACTGGGCACCAATGTCAGTGCCCAAAACGCTAAAGATCACAAAGTGACGCAAGCACAAATGAGAACAATTAATTTTAGCACTGCAATATTTACCAATATTATTGCTACATTTTCTAATATCACGCAGCTCTAACAACCACCATTGAATAATTTTTTTGCATTTTTATTATTTTTTTATTTTTATCCTTTTAACCTTTACTTACACAACAAAGTGCTTAAAACAAGACAATACCTTTTGCAAGGGAGAACCTGGCGAGGCCATACACAGATTTATGAAAGGAAGCTTCTCCTGAGTTTGGCTCTAAATCACCAGCTGTGTATGTAATTGCAGGTTGTTGCAAGTGTCGAGCGCAAATACGTTCCAGAGCTCCTGACCTCAGTGCAGATCTTTGGGAGCGTTGAACCGAACAGTGCATCTTGGCGCATCAAACAAATGTAAATCATGTTCAGGGTGGTGAGCTTAGCCAGCTGCAGCATCAAGCAAACATGAATTCGAATATAAGGTCTGAGAGGGCTCTGAACTAAATTGTTTATCATTTGCAATCATAAACATTCAAGCTGAAAACACACGATAAAACTGCAAGGAACAACTTAAAGTTGACATCAGCAACATCTGTGTTTACGTGAAGTTTCAACATGGATGCAGTTGATAGGCCACGTTGACACAACACGTCTTCCTGACATTTAAACAAATATGAATGGAAGTTTGTGGAACGGGTCTGTGTGAGTTCGTGTGCATGTAGGTCTTACGGAGATGAAGGCGTCCTTTCCTTGGATGGGGCTGAAAACCTCCTGAGTCTGGGAGAAGTGCAGTCCACCGATGCCCCAGGTGACTTTGACAGCGCCCCGGATTTCTTCATCGTTCAATCGCCGTACAAACTGCTCCGTGAATGACTACGGAAAAGCAGCGACAGAATATCATACTGCAGGACAGGGTGAAAAAAGTCAACAGTGTTTCATTAATGCCTCAGAGGAAGTGGGTGAAAGCGAGACGCATGACATGACTTCTACGGCTCACGAGAATAAGCCTCGATGTGGAGTTTAGTTTCACTCTTTTGGAAACAAGTACGTTCAACTTAGCAGAGAATCCACATGTAACAAATTTTATGACACACTGTTACAAAACCTAGAGGCAACATTTAGTGTGCGGGACTGAATCTGGAGGATGCATTTCACTCTGAGGCGTTCACGTTTCCAACAAGGATACTAAAAGTTGTGATTTTGTGAAGCCGAACGAAAAGACGAGATTATTCGGAGGTGAGGACGCAAACAGGAACTGGCCTTCCAAACATCCACTGCGGTGCGACGTGTCGTTTGATTTTACTTTGATTCATAAGTCGACAGTACTGCTCACTGGTACGATAGGAAAAGCAGCACCTGCGAACAATTTGTGTCATTTTTTTAAATTTATTTCCTCAACTTAACTGATTCTCAACCACTTATCAAATCAGCATGACTGCTTCTGATGAGGATTTTGTAATCCCAGTTACATTCTCACACTGACTTAGCTATCGTTTGTGATTTATTTATCGATTCACAATAAAATAAAATCAGTGTTATTTGTGGAACTAGTTTCATTCCACGTCAATATCCCAACAGTATTTTAATACTTTTCTGCAGTATCATAATTTCATATGTGGTTTTTCTCCTCTGTGGCACATTCACCACTGCAAGACGTACCAAGAGCCTTCAAATCAATTTTGACTGCAGCTGCATAATTTCACTCTCTGAAAGGCGGTTTTGGGAAGTTTTTTCACTTCCTTACATCCCGCTAACTTTCCCTGATGTTCATCACAGTTTAGTTTTTTTTAAATGATTTTTTCATTTCACTGACTGAAAATGTGGGTAAGTTTGAATTTTCAGTTCTTTTTTTGGTTGTTGTTTTTTAAGGAAAGGCATGTTTTCTCGTCTTTGCCCTTTTGAAGAACTGCTGAGGGATTTTGACCTTTGTGTGTTTCACAGCTGACATTCCATGTTCATGTTTCTAATAAATGCCTATTTCTTCAATGCCTTGTCTAAGGAAATCTTCAGCAGAAAAAAGTTGGATCACCTTGACAACAAATTAGCACAAATTACTACTGTAATCAAATATTTACTACGGCGACCTTGATTTCTCTATGGTCAATACGCTACATTTCTACACAAGGATCTGACTCCCAGTTGATCTACATGACAGTCCACATTTAGCTTGTGCATGAAGCAGTGCTGATTCCACAGCAGCAAAATCGTCGCATGTTTTATATCTGCGACTAAACTTGATGAACCATCAGAACTGTGCCATCTCAGTTGCTCTACAGAACAGTGGATGAAAGACGAACCCGGATGCTTTTCACCAACGCTCCAGGGGGCGACTCCTGCAGCGCGATGGTCTCAGACGTGTCGATGGTGAAGTACAGGTGTATGGGACATTCTCTCTTCTCTGAAAGAAACACGCCAGCGGGTGAGGTTAAGACGTGCGTGGTGCTGCACTGTCACTGTTGCAGCGGAGACGGCGGCACTCACGGTTGCAGTCTGCTTTCTGGGCGTGAGTCAGGGCTCCGAGGAGAAGGCAGAGCACGACGGTCTCGAACGCCAGCATCATCTTCTTCTTCTTCTCCTGTCTGAAACAGAGAGACGAGGCCCACATGAGTTGACACAAACGTCGCTGCTCTGTCCAGGCTGGCAGATTGTTCAAATGTAAAGTGTTAGGAGCAAATTGATAAAATAAAAATTAAACTTGCTTCTTCTTTTTTTTTCAGTTATGAAGCGTTAGTTTGTTGTCCATAAAATTCTGAACGGGATTTCATCCAGACTCTGAGTCAACCGTTTCAGATTAAAAATCCAGCAAACAATGGCAGTATGTTTACAGAGAGAAGAAAATGTCTGTCAAATAATTAGCTAGATTGATGATTTCATTGCACACGAGTAACAGAGTTTAAATTAAAGCCTTAAATGAGAAGCAACTACCTAACTCCAGCTGTAAACCGTGGAAATCCACTCAGCAATCCTGCTTTCAGGTTAGGAAAATATTATTTTCAAGCTGTTTACACAAACGTAAACTGATTACAGCTACATATTTTGATTAATTTGATTTTGTATGCAGCTAACGGCCTCATATTTAGTTTTTAGTCAGTTAAAGTCTGCTGCCCCCTAGAGGATTTTTATCACCGTCACTGTCAGATGAGCCTGCAGGTTATGGTCTTGGACAGTATTTTCCCAACCCTGGTCCTCAAGGCACACTGCTCAGATGTCTCCCTCCTCTAACGCACCAGATTTAGATTGTTGTAGTTCAGTAAAAACTTGTTAACCAGCCATCAATTGAAATCTGAATCAAGGAAACACCTAAAACATTAAGGGCAACATGCCTTGAGGAGCAAGGCTTGGAAATACTCCGGGGCACCGCCAGGGATCTTGGGCCCCCTGACAAAAAAATCAGCTGCTGTTAAATTTTTTTTGAGTCTGTTAGACCCATAAAAAGCGTCACAAGGCAACTGCCTTGCTTTCTTTGGTCCAACGTTGATACTAGCACAATATTTACTGCTCATGAATTTAACATGCAACAGTGATCATACAGTATGCAAGTAGGTTGCTTAAATGTTCTCTATTAGTCTTAGATTACTGAAATGTGATGTGATTTCAGTAAGCTGAAATCACAAGCTTACTGCAATATTTACATTGGAAAATGTTGACAATTTAGTAACTTTTTGAAAAAATATTGACAATTTTTGACAATTTTTTGAGCAGCAGTCAAAAGCAACATGCAAAATATACATGTCAAAAAATGCTATGTAGTTGCATGTTATTCAAGCTGCAGTATATAACTTTAATAAAAAAATATGTTTTCTCCATATTTGTTAAAGCTGTCACCATGTCAGATAATCTGTGAAAACAATCAATCTCCTCCCTCAGCTGCTATTACTGGCTAAAGTAATGCAACATTCTGACCAAAAATGATACATTTTTTTTTTCCTTAATTCATTAAATGCTGGTGAAATGGAGGCAAACAGTCGTCTGTAGCTAAGCTAATGCAGTCTACCCACCTCAGGGAAAAGCTGGGTTACAAATGGACACTTTTACCGTTTTCTCTAAAGTCAGGTTTGAAAACCTGACTTTATTATTTTTCTTTGCATCATAGTAAAGGCCACAGTCGTTCTTGTTTTCTACTGACTGCTACTGAACACTGTCACCGTCAAGCTCCAAGCACAATATGATTAATTTTATAACTGACAGAGCTGCAATTTTTTATTTTATTTCAATGAACAAAAAATACATAATTAAATTGTGGAGGGCCCCCTGGTGGTCAGGGGCCCTTAGAACTGTCATAACTTTCCCCCCCTGTCCAACGCCCCCGATCTGGGGAAACACTCAAGCGTAATACAAAAGGGTTTGTATTACTTATCTGTGTATCCAGTCAATAATGCATGAACACATTGAAGTTGGTCTGTAATTTGGTTCTGGCAAATCTATTTCATGGTCTACACTGAAGGAAGACCATGAATCTCTAAAACAAGCAAACTGCTAAAATGTGTGCTGGATGTTTTTGAGATTTTTAAAATCATCCATCCATCCATTTTCTGAGCACCCTTCTTCCCTAACGTGGTCGGAAGGTGCTGGTGCCCATCTCCGGCTGCGTTCTGGGCGAGAGGCAGGGTTCACCCTGGACAGGTCGCCAGTCTGTCGCAGATTGGCGACAGACTGGCGTCTGTCAGTCTGTCGCCATTCAAATCAATTCAATTGATTCAAAATCAATCAATTGAATTGATTTGAAAATCAATTCAAATCAAATATTTACAATATATTTGGAGGGTTTTGTTTTTGTTGTTGTTATTTTTGCATCAGGACCGCTTTCAGCATGTCCTAAAGTCTTAAATTCATGTGTCTAAAAGTAAAGCCTTAAAATGTCTTAAATTAATTTTTTAAGTGCCTCCATGGCTGCAGCCCTAGTCGCCTGTCTTCCTTATCTTTGTTTGTTTATTTGTCTTTCTTTGGATGGGTTGTGCTTCTATGTAACAATGAAAGCTGTCTGATTCAGAAAAACAAGTCAGTTGGCCTTAAATACGTTATTCATAGGTTTTAAGTTGTATTATGGCAAAACTACTTAGTTTCATATATTCTACGTGTATGTTTTGTTTTTTTTTCTCATGGGACATTTCTGTCTGGCAAAAGTTTGAGTCGCATGAAGACATATTCATTGTGTTCTGTGACTCGAGGCTACAGGTAACATAGTCTTGCTAGCTAGCTAGCTAGCTAGCTTTCTTGTGTCTAAAGCCTAAGGGGCAAATGCAAATCTATTGCCAGTTGGCTTGATGAAGTTCGTTCATTTCTGTGGAGATGTGGGTCTTAAATTTGAGTTGGCGAAACCTGCAGAAACCCTGGCTTTACATTGAGGGTTAGCCAGGAGAGGCTCAAAACTAACGCGGTCTCAACTCGTATTTCACACACTGCACAAATTTTAGGCCAGTCTTCCATGTAAAATGGTTTTAATATTTCCAACTGGGAGCATGCAGCAGAAGCAAGACCACTCAAACCTTCATTTTTGTTTTTGTTTAGCCAATCAGAGGTGGGCACGGGGATGCTCATGTCCACCATGAGTTTCGTAAAGTATTCCTGTACAATCCGTAGTTCCAACAATTACATGAAGTAACTCAGTAGTCCCGGTCCAGAAGCAGCAAATGAGCACCAGACCATCACGCTACCGTCACCATGTTTTGACGGTAGGTATGACCTTTGTCTGAAATTGTGTATCGGTTTTTATTACAGATGTAACCGAACACAGTTTGCAAAAGGGTCCAGTTTTTTCCTCATCGGTCCTCAGAATATTTTCCACAAATGTCTGGAGGATCACTGAGAGGTTTTGTGGCAAATGTGGCCAAAAAAACAGTGGCTCTGTTCTTGGAACTCTGTGATGGACCATGAACTCTGACCTCTGACCTCTGGCCTGAGCCCTGCATTGGATTAGATGTTAGTTTAATTCTCCTCCTGAGAGTCTTCAATGAACTGCTGGAGTGATTTTGGAAGGACAGCCTCTCCTTTAAGACTCACTGGCTCCCATTGTGACTCACTGGAGTCCCAAACATTTTAAATGGCTTATTATCCCTTTTTAATGGAAAATGGCCAATGTTTGTCAACTGTGCACAAATTTCTATCTTCTTGTTGTCCGACAGGTTGAATTTAAGTGATCATCATTCAAAATCTGCATGTCTTTTCTGAATTAACTCAGGTTCTTTTTGCCTGACACCAAAATCTGTTTGAAAATCTGAAACATTTAAGTTTAACAAAATGAAAGAGAGAGAGAGAAAAGAAATTCAAAAAGAGTAGAAGAAGAAGGAGCCCGAGGTGACATTCTTGAAGGAACCTCCACTGCCTCTGGGGAAAACAGTTTGGTTCATTAACAAAAAGTTTTCTGTCCAAACCTTTTGCTCTTGGGGCCTTAAAGTTTGTAAATATTGCGTAAGATTTTTAAAACTAACCTTTTGTACTTATCTGCTTGGTAAGAATTTAAAAAATCTTTCAATTTTATCAAAAAGAAGAAAATAGTTGCATTTTTGTAGAAAATTCATCTGTGAATCGTTGCAGATATAAAACATTTTTTCAAAAGTCCATAGTTTCACATTTTTGGCAGGCTGAATGTTTTCTTAGTTGGAAAAGAATTCAAATTTACCATTGGAAAAAAGTAGGCCGGTGTTTTTGATTCTAGTTTCCTCAAAATTCAAATGAATGCAAAAATGTTGCCCTAAAAAATGTCCATCTGCATCAACCACCTATAACTGCAGGTCAGACTCGAGCAGAATCACACAGAGGGCCGCAAATGGCCCCCAGGCCGCACTGCGGACACCCCTGCACAAGATATAAGAAATATTGCCTCGTTGCACAAATAATCACACAAAATCGTGTCCTGGACAGCTGGATTTGGATATAGTCTGTATCGGTTGAAAGAGTGAACGGATGAGTCTTCGGGTGTTTGCATCTTAGCTTCCTACCAAATCCTGAGCCATTTGTGACCCAAAGGTTGAACCACCGCATGCAGTGTCCTTAGATACCACAAGAGGCCCAAACTAAACGCCGCTCTCTAGATGGGGAGCAGAAATATCATGCAGACGATCGTCCTCCTCTGTCCCTGTCATTTGTCACTGGACACGAATCTGAGCGGCTTACAGCAAGTGAGTGACAATCACTGAGTTTATGCAATTTACAAAAACCTCAAAACCCTCATGAGAAACAAAATGTCTGCCACTTTAGAGGGAGAAAACACAGGATAATTATCTACCCGGCTTCGAGGATCTGTAATTTAACCACCTACCAACTGATCCTGAACATCTGACCCCACGTGGGAAGAAATAATCACTTTACACACGTTTTCCAAAGGAAGTTTTCTTACTCATCGTTCTCAGTTCCCCTTTAATTGCGTTTTAACTCTCGACTGACGGATTAGAGGGGCCACGCGCATTGCTGTGGCGCCCTCTCGCGGACAGAAAACAACGCAGTGGAGAGGAGAGAGGACTCGCTCCTGTAAATGTTTTCTTCTCCGAGGAGCCTCATGCGGTCACCTCGCTTCGCAAGTGAAAATCACGCAAAAACAAATGTGCAACTGGCTCGAAGCTTCAAGAAAGTTTGGACGCCGACGCTCGGATCAAACTTTAACCAAGCGCCAAGTTTTGGGGCCACATTTCATGAAAACAAGCTGACATATAAATTAGTTCAGGTACAGCAAGCGCCAGGGGTCGAGCGCGTCTGGAGAGCCGCTGTGCGTAAAAGAGCGCAGCTTACCTGAACTGTCGGCCACTTCAAACTTTTACGCAGCTGGGGGCCCCACGAAGCTGGTTATGTCCTCATCTCCGCAGAGGGGAAAAGCCGATGGAGGAAACACCAAAAGGGGAAGGAATTTCGGGAGGACAACGCGGGAAAGAAAAGCTCCGAGATGTGCGCGTACTTCCCGCAGCAGAGAGCCGTCCTTTCGCCCTGCCGTCCCGGTCCCAGTCCCAGCCAAAAAAAAAAAAAAAAGTCCGGATCCCTCCTCCGAGGAGCGCGCGCGACTTACCTACGACAGTGTGCGCCGCTGTCCGCGCGGGGGCGCCCTGGCTCCGTCGAAGCGCGCGTGCACGCGGACTGTCGGGACAGTGGGGCCCGCTCGCTCGGTCTCTCGTGGACGGATCTGACTTCAAACCCCGGGTTATGATGCCCGTTTGGCAATCAGACCGCGTGGACGCATGAGAAGCCTGGGGGACAGATGCAGAATGCTTTGGATGGGTTTATTGTTTTTGTTGTTGTTATTATTATTATTGTGATTTAATCTCACACATGTGCAGGGATTGAAGGATAGAGAACAGACTGAACGGCCTGAATACTCATGAAGACATACATGTGACTGAACCCTGGAGTGTCCGGATGCCTGTTTGTGATTAGTAGGCAGAGTGAGGGGAGTTTACAGCCGGAGTAAACACTTACAGCCCGACCATGAGCCTTCTCATCATGTTTATACATTCGTAGGTGTACCAGTTCTCTCCACTCCCCCCTCCCCATGTCTTTGAATGATTGTGCACATAGTAGGAGGCCTTCCTCTTAGCGTTGGGAAATTTGGCCAATTTGCACAGATGCATGAACAGTTTGAACAGCTAAACTTTCATTTTACTTGACTTGTGCAAAATGTCCATGCGAAGGTCGTAACCGTCTGGCCCAGAAAGCAAAGAGGCTAAAGGCAGTGTTGTCTAAATTTGACTTTTTTTTTTCTTTTAGCTTCAAATCATGTTACAACGTCATCAAACACGTGATTTGATAGGAACCATCCAGCTGTGCAAAATGCTTGATGAGACCAGGCACGAAGCTCCAGTTTCCAAGCTTTCCACCTCAGAGCAACGGAGCAGCCCTTACCCCGTCAGCTCCTTCAGACTAGCCAGCATCAGTTAGCAAACACGTGGTGGAACTGCGCATCTGCTGAGCTCATTGTGGGAGCTACTTCTCAATGCAACGCAGGTAAAAACGTTGCGAAAGGGTTAATAGAGGAGCGATGTTGTTATGACTTCATAACATCAGCGAGAGCAAGAGTTTTTTTTTTTTTTAAAGGGATAGAGGCCCTAATCCAATTAATTTTACATATATACAGCATTTTTATAACAAGTGAAGGTAATATTAATTGATTGTACTGTAAAATAGGACAATGTGGCTGGAAAACGCACAATCTCTTTCAAACAGCTTTTACATTATGCCAGATTTTCAGATTTTGTTCCACAACAGCAACAAATTGAAAAAAATAAATAAATAAAGAGAAATGTTTTGCATTTTCTCAGACTGAACAATTTTCAAGTCTTTTCAGAGATTTTCAAGTCTGGACTTTGACTGGGCCACTCCAACACATGAGCGTATTCTGATCTCAACCATGCTATGTGGATCTGGCGACACGTTCAGAGTCGCCCTCCTGCTGAGTATCCGATGGTCTCTGACGTCTTTTTAGCCTGAGACGATTTTGTTTCCAGAAATGCCTCATTGTGCTTCCCCCAGCGCCGTCACGTCACCCTCATCCAACTATGTGAAATTGGTGTCAAACGTTTGCGCTGCTGTCATTTTAAAGATCTTGATAAATGTTTTCAGAGGTCATCAAAGGTCAACCAGTCGCTCCACGTTGACAAAATCAATCAAAATACGGTGTCAATCAATTGTTTTATACTTGAGCAGCAACATTTTTTGTTTGTGCCGTTATAATTTTAAATATATATATTTGAAAAAAGTGCCCAGACAAAATAAATAAATCAAACAAAGCTGATGTAAATTTATTGTGCTGTTTTTGTGCAGCTAAACTTTTTTTTTGTGGCACAATCTGTTGACAACCGAAATTGTTTGGTTTTGGAAACGTGGACCGGCTGGTTGACCTTTGACGACCTCTGGAAACATTTGTCGATGTCTTGAAGCGATGGCGGCGCAAACGAAAAATGTTGCTGCACAAACGCGGCAATAATGTGTTTGACACAATTTCACTTAACTTAACTGAAGAAAGTGGGTGAATGGGGGGATGAAAATGTTCAAGGGGTGTGAATACTTTTGCGCCTCAGAGGTTGAAATACAAATATGTAATGCCTGAAGAAACAAAACCTTTGTGTGAACTGGGTTGACTCAGCCTCGAGTTTCAGAGAGCTTTGTGCCAAAATGGTGAGAAGGGAAAAAATAAATAAAGAAAGAAATGCTAAGACAGGAAAGGGGATGAGAAGAAGGAGGCCAGATGCAAACCAGAGTTATTACCGTGAAGATCCTTTCTCCATCTCTGCTGCGGAAAGGCTTTTCCTTAAAAAGAGAAGGATAGAGGAGTTGAGCGCTGCGAGATGGAGAGATGTGGCGGAGGTGGAGAGATGGAGGGTGGTGGAAGGGGGCAAAGAGAAAGAGGGGGTGTTCTGGTCTCTCTGGAAGCGGTGACTCACGGAATAGGAATGACCTTCCTCCCAAAGCAGTTTCTGCCTCTGCTTCCCTCTGTCTCTCTCTCACACACAGCCTTTTTTATTTTATTTTTTTGCATTTGATTCCTTTCTCTCTCTCTTTTTTTAATGTCTTCCACATGGAGCTTAATAGTGTTTCAGTCTGGGGAAGGAGTGGGACAAGGAGAGGTGTGTGTGTGTGTGTGTGTGTGTGTGTGTGTGTGTGTGTGTGTGTGAGGGGGGGGATTTCTGCAGAACCAGCTCCGGTATTATAAACATCTCATTTCTGCACATATTGCCAGAACAGCTTTCAGTTCTTTTTTTCTTTTTCTTTTCTTGCGCTGAAAATGTTCTCGAGCTTTGACTCGATCCATGCAGAAAACTGCACAAGCCAGACGAGACGAGAATCAACACACGGATCAAGTCAAAGCAACAACCTATGAGGCCCCACGCAGCTCTTTGGATATCTGATGCAGAGATGGGCGAAACATGAATCTGAGAATCTGGGAGATTGCTGAACGAAACATTGGGTTAGGTTAACGCCGACCCTGTTTTTTCCTGCTGCCTTCTTTCTCCAGATGTGGTTGCTGCTCAGACAAGACAGCTGGGAGCAGTTATATCCAGTGCATCACACACGCACACACACCAGTCTGTGCGCAGCACCGTGCAAATTTAAAATCAACTCCATGTGGCAAACTTATGTGATTTCCAGAAAATTTCGCAGGAAAAAGCTTTGCACTTTGGGACTCAGAGTGAGATTTCCAGAGAATTTAGCTTCGCGGCGGCGGCGGCTTCCTTCAGCAGGAGTTACATGAGGAAAAGCTGCGGCGGAGCCAAAGCAAATTTGTTTGTTTGTTTGTTTGTTTTTTTTAAAAAAGAACAAACTCACACAGAAACCGAGCCGCGCGCGCACGGCTGACCTTGTATTTATACAACTCGCGACGCGCGAGCGTGAAACACCAGCGAGCGGACACGCCCCGTGCGCGAGTCACACAAACACGCACGCAAACAAACAAACAAACAAACAAACACAAGACGCAGCACCGGAAGTAGAAGTGGATTCGGGGCCGCGCGCCTCTTAAGGACAACATGGAGGCAGGAAGACGTCGCTCAAAGAGCCGAGTGCAGATGTGGGATCAAAGGGAGAAAAGTAGAGAATTGTTCCAGTCTGATGTGTGATATAAAGCATGTGTCCTGCTGAGAGTCAAATGATGGATTTGTATTTGCAGCCGCATAAATCTGAAAGGCAAAAACAATCATGCAGGAGGACTAATTGTGTTGTAAACATTTGATCTCCGCGGGAGGATTTTCGTCTTGGCATTGGGAGAGCTGGGAGAGGTCACGTGCCTCACCTGTACCGCGACGCGGAAACCCTGACGTCAGTCTTTTCAAACGCCGCTGCATGCCGGGAGATTAGCGGGCGCATACCCGCTGCTGTGAGGCCGATGCGGCCGCACTGACAGCGGCCAAGGCAGTAGGCGAAGCGTAGATGTGATTTGCCGTTTTATCGAGGGTGAAATTCATCGATGTCCCAGTCGGAAACACAATGTTTGATATCCAAGATGGCCGCCGCGGAGGTCAAAACGGGAGCGCGTTCCTTTTGCTTTTCTGCGGTTTGATATTTTCCGAGTTTCCAGATGGAGAAACGACAGGAGCGCCCCCTGGAGTTGGACTCCTGAGTGGAAAAGTTGAAGGCGAAACAATAAAGTTAGCCTCTCCTTTTTGTCGAAGCTAGACCAACTTTAGCCGGGCTGAATTCTCATATGTTGCTGCAACACGAAGCATTTGTGATGGTCAGTTTATTAGCTTCCCCGTACTGTGGTGAACCAACCAGTACAGGGATGCTGAAATTGGTTCACTGGGTGCGTTTTATGAGTGTGAGATAAAAACCTAGAGCTTGACAGAGAGGAAGCTCCTATGAGGGGTAAAGATTTGGGGCTTTTACTTGTACAGAGTTGTAGATGGTTATCACACTGCTTTATGCCAGTGAAGAAGTTGATCAGGAGAAAAAGAAAACACTCCAAAAATCCTGTGGGTAGCACACACACTACAACAAAGTAGGAAATGTTTTTCCATCCATCCATCCATCCATCCAATCGTCTTACATCCTTTTCTTCATGGAAAATGGACAGATGGTTTTTTATGATCTCTAAGTTTACTTCAGTGCTTTTTACCCCATAATTTATCATTTGTGTGTACATAAGTTACTTTGTAAATAAACAAAAACAGAAGTTTTTTAAAAGATGACATCCTGTTCTCTGTGATGCAGGCAGGTCAATATGTAGACATTTATTTAGATCATATAAAAGTGGTCACACATAAAGTCACCATCATAGCTTTTTCAGCAAATTTTAATCTTCGCAAAAATCACAGCCATATGAGAGAGCTAACCTAATGCGCCACATTACACTGAAAGTCTGCTTTGTACCTGCCTGTTCTGATTTGATGCTAGAGCTGCTTTTATGGTGTAAATGACTGTTTTCCTTTGATAATGGTACAGAAACGAACCGAGCAGAAAGACTTGGGTGTAACAACCTTTATTGGAAGAGATCTTACAACATCACAGAGGCTTTGTGTTTGCAGTTTA